TTTTTTTTTTTTTTTTTTTTGGAAGTCACTTCTTGAGGCGAAAATCCCTAGCAAATCGGAAGAATTTTCTCAGCCAAACAAAGTGAAGAGCTAAAAAAAAAAAGGTCTTCACTTTTTTCGTGAAAAACCCTAGCAAATTCGAATAATTTTCGCGAAAAAATTTTTCTCATCCAAATCACATGGGGGGGTTAACCCCCCCCCCCCCTTCGCACATTACTGATATTGAGGTAAAGGCAATCTGAAAAATCAATAAATAATAAAGTTCAATGTTATGTTTTTGTTAAATCATTCCTATTACATTAGAAGTATATTTAATTGTTTCATATAAAATGACTGAACCTTCGCTCTGATTCGATTTAAGTCCAGGAAAAGAGGAGGATGCAATTACAAGACAGGATTGCCGATACTCATTTGTTGTCACAAGAGGTTCAGACCATTGTCTCACCGGACGGGGCACCTATTCGAAATCAAAACCTTCAAATCCACTTTACTTTATTCATTAGTTTTATTCACTTTACCCGAAATCTTAGCTTTCCAATCGGCGGTTGGGCATAGGGAATGCCCTTGAACGAAATATAAGGAACTTTATTGACAAATGTCTTTTGCGGAACGCCAACAATTGGACCGCTACATGTATTCACTTTTAAATAATCACAACTTACAATGGCAATGAACTGCCATAAAAACATTAAATTTAACATTTTGAAAGGCATAAAGTAAAATTTGAGGATGAAAACCCGTGTTTTGAAGACTGTCACTTCAATAACTGAACAAGTCAATTTAAATTGGCCACCTTATATAACACCTACACCGACTCTTTTGAATCGGATAAATACCTTACGTAACGAGTGTAATATGGTCATTATTTAGACAGTTGCGAGTTTCAAACAATTTGATAAACAGATAGAATACAAATATAAATTAGAAAAAGATAGAGTTAATATATATGTGCAAAAACCATTTAAAGCCACAGATGTATCCGGATTTTGTGTTTAATGAAATGCTCTCTCGTAGAAAAATAAACAAGAAAAAAGAATGACGAAAACCAAATTTGTACAAATTTTATCCGAGAAATTATTTACAAATGTCTTATTATATTGAATTTGTTTTGAGAGTAAACATAAATTAATACACTTAATTAAGATGTATTTAAATCAAATATTTACACGAATCTCGGTTTTATATACTTGATAGTTGAATCGAAATAGTAAAGGTTCCGTACATGGATGTCATTTATAATTTGGGTTTTTGAATCTTGGTCAAAATAAATTTGGACGGTTACTGGGTCATTTGAATTGTGTCTAACTTTAATAATTCACAAATAAAACTTGTAGTTTCAAACTACGACATTTTCGTAGACTTTTCTCATTTTCAAGTCTTGATTGGTTTTAATCGGAACTTGTAAATACCCAAGTAGGAATTACAGTAGAATTCAAAACATTTTTAATATCACAACGTAAATTGCAAGTGCACGTTTTAAACTAAACCAATTTTTTTTTTTTTTTTAATAAATGAATATCTGTAATAAAAGTGATCAAGCGTTTCATGTATATAGTACGTGTGATAATGCTGAAATCATGTACAAAACGTCAACCATGCGCCCGCTATAAAATGTGTATATTAAAAGTAGTAATGGGTTTAGTTGGGCAGAACGTTTCACGTGGCTAGCTACAAGAAGAGCAAATATGAATCACAAGGTTACACTCTTGAATTGGCCTGAAATGTGCGTAAATTAGATATTCATTTAAAATAATCACCAACATGCACAAGAATTCATGATACCGATCTATCGTAATGGCCATCTTTTGCAGGTTCATCCTTCATAAAGCAAACGAACGGCCTGAAAAATTATTTCCAAATCTTTGTGAGAGAAGTTAAAAGAAATATCTGTAGTGTGTGATAAAACTGAGCTTGTGTTAATTGGTCAGCTACAATGAAATGTTTGTCATGTATACATTAATGTGTGAGCTATTTACTGGACCATAATAAAAAAAGAGAATAGAATGCTTTTATGCTATTTATGGATTCATAAATCAGAAAGTGGCAGCGTGCGGTGGAGTGTATCTTTTTGCAACATCACATCAACACAAAGAATTATTTTGAGAGTGAGAGAGAGAGAGTGGCAATTAAATAGCCACAAATAATTTGCCATCATCATCGTCAATAATGAATGAGAGCAAACACACAGTCCATTTTGTGAAATCAGTGTACCACTGCACATCGTTTCGATAAAAATAAAGCCGATTTTTATTTGGTTACGTCCGTTATAAGCTTTGGATGCTTTTTTTCTCTTTCTTTCTCTCTCTCTTTCACTCTCATTCGATGAGCTTTCAAAACAATCTGTCGCTTATTATCAAATACGGGTTATAGTGCCACTTTTTTGGGGAAAAAAATTATCAAACACGTTAGATGGCGTTAGTTTAAATGTAAATTTCTATGTACATACGGTGGCGCCGCCCTACACCAAAAATTACTGAACTATAGAGTAAGGTACTATTGCTTATTATATCCATATATCCTTTGAATGAATATTCATGCGGTGAAAGTGAGTGCTGTGGCTGAATGTAAAATGTGGACTCAATTAAAATGTATACACCATATTATATATAAAGGAAGAAATCCGCAATGAAAATGTTATTCAACAATATCAAAAAGTCATAAAAAAATCACAAACACAACGCAAAAATGCAACGCCAAACCAAAAAAAAAACATCTCACCACAATTACAATTTATTAAAAAGCATTAATGGCGTTGTGTCATACATTTCAATTTACATCAATGCACTCTAAACAAAAGCTTAGACCGTCACAGCGCCACACATATGGATAAAAAGTGCGGTTAGCAGCAAACGCACAAAAAATTGCGTTCAATGACACGACATTTTATGGATTAGCATTTGGTTTGACCACGAGAAGGATATGAAAAAAAAAGTATTATCCAAACACAGTATTTGTGTGTACACTAATTGGCGTCGCACATGGATTCAATTTCAAGAGAAATCTCTCGTCGATAGAGTAAAAATACCAACAGAAAAAAATTGTATTTTTTACGTGGGATAATTAAAATCCACAACGCTTTGATCTCTTTGAAATATTCATTTCACACATAATCACAAAACTCGTGAATCCATTTACCGTCGCGCCAAATGTGAAATGCATTTTTACCACTCTCAAAAACAACTCAAAGAGGTCGGACGAAAAGAGTTTTTTTTTTTAATTTCATCTTCACCTCTTATTTTGTTTTATTTACTAAAAAAAATCAGCAAAGTTGGCATTTCGACCCGATAACATGCTTTTCGCATAATCCATTCATTTTGGTCAGGCAAGTCATTCCGTTCGTTTTCTATTGTGTGGCAAGTGAATGGCGAGTTCATGTCGTCGGTTGCCGCATTAAATCAATTGGACAACAGCATAAGCAACCCGACAACCACGACAACGATGAAGAAGGAAATACAACACGCCCGACAAAATCAAACATCAAGTCATTTTAAACGAAACATACACAAAAAAAGAGAGAAGAAAACAGCAACAATAATGAAGACGACGCACAACATATAATTTTCACCCAAGCCCAAAGATGAATTGATGTGCATTGACTCGGCCGTGTAATGAGTGAGTGAGTTCATAATCACATTAGACCGAATTACCATGTAGCGCACTGTATGCAAATAAACACCGTATTCATAAAACATTTAGCTATATACACACATACACAAGATAAATATGAAAGGATACGCAAATGTCACGGATAGTTTGGGATGTTATGACCAAATATGGCATTTATTGATAATCATAGACTCACTGATGCCCAGAGCCGAAGTGATACTCATTCTAACCGTTAAGAATCCGCATCTCGACTTGTATAGTTGTTATGATTTGAAAGTCGGTTTGTCGACATGCATCTCTGTAAAATACAAACAATCAAGATGAAGTCATTTGTTCAGCGCAAAAATAATTCATCTTTTCTTTGCAAACAGCATGACAGCAAACTCAATTCGGTTGTTCTTTGTTTTGTAAGTTATTCATGTATTGTCAGCATTCAAATGTAGTCATTTTTTCGAATGATATGGCAAATTTTAAGTAAGAAGTATTCAATTTTGAATGTTAGAAAAACGAAAATGTATTGCTCATCATTTTATTTAGTATTGTGTCAATATTAACACGTTGTAATTATCTGTTATGTTGTAAAGGAGTCATTTTTATACGAATTTTAATTAAGCCATGACATTCCCGAAAATCAAAGGTGTGGAAGTTATCATACGTTTGACTATACAATTCGTTACAAGTCGTGCTTACATTTAGAAAATATAAATTTACTTGTTAAGCTAGAGAGAACGCATTCGATGATGCAAATACATGTTTACCGTTTATATTAATTCATTTAAACGCATTTTTTCCAAAGTGGACGAGTATGAGGCGTGCCTTTATCCCAAACAGAAAGAAAACCACTATATCTGATGATGAATTCGTGTAGTACGGCTCGTAATATGTGTCTAAAAGTAATTTTCTACAATTTGTTGTTACTTTGGTTCCAATAGGCAATTCATGTGCATTTATGTTAATAATAAATATTTGCTCGTTGGTTTCGAATCAATCGCATGGTCTGTCATGTCTTACATATCAAAAGAATCTTAATTGAATGAAAAATAAATAAAGAGAAACGGGTTTAATCATTTTGTTTTCTCTCTCTCTCTCCCTCTCTCTATACTTTATCCCGCGCACTTTGTATAAAATGTGTAATCAACTCTTCTCCCGTGAGCTGCATCTAATTTCTACGCTGTTTTTTCTCTGCATTTTGCAAAAGACGAATGAAAAAAAAAAAACGCCGCACGCTGCGCCGGCACTGAAAGAAAAAACGCTCCTCCTGATAGTCACCTTAAGTGTAGTAAATTGAAATCATATTTTTGCAGCTTTGGTTTGTATTTGTCCGACACGACATTGACGTGCGATAATTTCATCTTGGCCGCTCAACCTTTTTTTTCTCCTCCTCCTTCTCTCTTCTACTCTCCATTTCCACTCTTCGAGTATGCATTAAGTGCCCATTTGCAGCGAAATAAATTTTCGCTAAAAATTTATTACGATTATATGAAAAAAAAGAGTGCTTCAAGTGCATAAGATGTGTAATGAGAAAGAGAAAGAGAGAAAATCGGCATCATTTTTTTTTTCGTTGAGGAGTGCACACGTCAACGCAACAGAACCGTGTGATGATGCAAGAACACTTACTCTGTATACTCCTAAAGAAGTGGGAATATCTCGCTATCATTCCATGCTGGTTATTAACTTATTAATTTTTTATTAACTCGCTGAAATGCTGTTGAGCTTGCACACACTGTACTGACTGAGTGTGAGATTTTTTGCGCTTATTATACCAATTATGCATTAGTTGTCTGTGTATTTTTTTATTTTATTCGTCGTCATCTTCATCTTCGTCGTTTTTCCGGCACAGTTAAGAGATTTCAGAGAGTCAGTGCTAAAAGAATGTCTCGCATCAAAATGCAACAAAAATTAAACACGTTTCGGCTCAGATATTCGTGCTGTGCGCTGACAAAGTGCAATCGTTTGTGGCCAACACGAGACACACTAATGCATGTTATACATGTAATATGTTTTAGTTTTAAAATCTACACTTGTTATTGGCCATTTTTTTTTTTGTCATTTTCGAATTAATGAGAAAAATGTAATGATGTTGGATGAATTATATTTTTGAGTATCGTTT